TACTTAATGAAAAGAATTCAGTGTGTCAGTGATCATTCCAACAAAGAAAACATGTCCATTTACAGTATTGTTTAACTATTTCTATGTTGGTGACCACATTAAATGGGTATTTGAATGGAAATATGCCAGATGAATAAAAACAGCCTTCATGGGTGCCAAACATTAGCTATTTCTACAAAATTAGCTAAAAGTTTGCAAAATTACACACACCTATTACAAGTGCTGGCCTCTTAGGCAACTCAGAAGTCTATTGCTGATGTGATTTTAAGAAAGCAATGCCAATAAAATACACCAGGAGTTATTACCAGCCCATTATGTCATCATCAAAGCTTATGTTGAACCACAGCAATATATATGCAGTATAGCTCAGGAACTGTGGCACAGCAGGAGCATAAAAATGGGTATCTATTTATGAAAGAAATCTACACTTTATGCTGAAAAGTAATGTTAGCTGGACAAAACCCATAATAACCAGAAGCTGTGCAATTCAACAGCCTTTTCGTAGTTGCAGAATAAAATTGAATAAAAGTTAATTTTAGGAAGTCAGCCACTGCAGACCTCAATTAAAGGAAGGTGCCTGGGATTTGCAGTAGTGAATTGGAACTCTGATTCTTCTGGTTGCCAACAGTGGGCTGAACTGAAGGCCTCTGAGAAAGGAGCAACAAAGTTTTTAATGAATAGCAGTTGGCTGAAAAATCTTGGCCTAAGTTCTAAACCATGAGGCTTCTATCCCTCATGATCCTTCCCTATCATCCATTAAAACTATGTGTAACTTCATTATCCTTATTTAAAAACCTCTCTATTTAAATTCTTGATTTAAAACCTAGCACAATGGCAGTTTGTCATAGGAAATTCCACTGGCTAAATACAGATGCCACAAAGAAACATGCACATTATAAATACAATCACTTGGCTTTGAGTTTGCAAACTTACTGGCACCCCTAGAGTGCTACACAAAGATGGTTATGTTATCCCAGACCACCATTTTTTGTATTTTCTTTGCAAAATAATAGTATTCTTTGTAAAAAATCACCTACATGATTTTCTTCAGCTGATTCTTGTGTTTTAATATGTAGTTTTATATATACTGAATGCAACCAAACTGGAGATCAGCTTGTCACAAAAAACCCCCACAAAAAACCCCATAAGCAGCCCTTACCTCTATCAATTCAAACAGCCACAGATAAGCCAGAAATGGTCCACAGTCCAGGAAATACCAGATTAAAAACCTTTCTACAAACATATGGCAAGGTAGGGAAACAAAATTGCTAGAGGGAGAGAGTTCCACAGCTAGGGTATGTCAAATTCCCATCCTCCATTCGACTCACGCTTCTCGCTCCACATTTATACTTCACTGCTCCTCTCCATATGCTTGCACCAGAAGTACCCCAGCTCTCTTGAAAATATCAGGTTAAAACATCTGATCAGTGGAGTAGCTACTGTGTGAGGTTTTCCTCTTTTTTTTATTTTTTTTTTTACTCAAGTAAGTTAACAGTTGCATTTTAGACTTGTTCATGTTTATTTCAGAGGTCAGAAAACTTACCTGTTTCCCTCAATGTTTAAGATTTCCCATCTTACCACAGCCACAACCTGTTTCCCCGACTTGGATGCAGTTCTCTAACTCATACAAATCCATAGGAGTAGATAGGACCCATCTGAGAGTATTTGGAGAGCTGGCTGGCATCATCATGAGGCTGCTGTTTACTGTCTTTGAAAGGTTGTGAAGCCTGGAGAGGTTCCCCAATCATTTCAGCAAGAAGGACAACACAGGTAACTACATGGAGGTCACTCTTTCTAGGTCTCTTGGAAACCCTCTAACCCAATGTACCTATGATTTCCATCTAACTCTGTAGCCTCCTTAAGAAAGGAGTATCACCTCCCCACACAAGCTCCCAAAACTACAAAACTTTATCCTTCTTCTTACCTGCAATATCATTTTGAGAATGTTTGGCCTATCCACCCTTAATAATTCCAAAATGTTACATTTCTAACTGGAGTGAAGGCCTTTGACATGCTACTGTTTGTGAGTGACCAAAATTACAGGAATTCAAACAAAAAAACACTAAAATTTAGAAAGACATAAAAATTTGACATCAAGACAATGCTGGAGATAAGGAAAGCTAAGTTTTGAGTTTTCTGTTTCATGGCACAGATGAATTTACTGTTGCATTGTTTACCTTGGATGTGCCTTTTCCTCTTTATTACTTTCATATAACAAAAGTGATTTTCTTTGGACAATTAATTTCACTTTAATGCAATTGAGAATTATACTGGTATAATTGAAGGAGCTGGAGCTACAATACAGTTGTAGTGCTAACAGCTCCAACTAACTTCATACATTCAAAAACACATTCCTTCAAAACCCTCCAAATTCTAATTATAATGGTAAACAAAACATTACAACACTAAATGCAGCAGCTTGTTTATATATCAGTTATTCTCAAAGAAAATATTTTTCTTTGGATGTGTGCACAACCTGCTGCTCTTTCAATCTTCTGGGCACTGAAAACACAACATTTTCACCAAAATATCACCTGAGTGCATCCTGAGAAATAGAAGGCCTCTCACCCCAAGCAGTGCCTGTTTCTTTTCTCCCATACAACACCCACTGGCCACAAGAACTACAAAGCTTATGCCTTTAGCAGCTTTCCCCCAAAATCAATGACTACAGTGTGGTGAAGAGAACGAGTGCTTTTGATTGGTCAGACCAGGAGCGTTATTTCCACCTGTGAAAAGACATCTCTGTCTACCAGCAGAGTCTAACATAGACTTGACTATACTTAAATTAATCAATACTTTATTTATAATTAAATTCAAGAAAAATAGAACTATATACAGGAAGAACTATATATACAAAGAAACAAGTCTTTACACAGCCTATCCCCCAAGATCCATCTGAGTCTGTCTGGAGAAATAGAAGTGCTCATATATAAAGGGGATGATATTTTTCATGACTGAGTTCTGTCCTGCAGGCTGGGCAAGTGCTGGCAGTCTGAAGGGCAACAGGGAGGCATCAACTGCAGTAGACATGACCACATGGGGTTGACGCAATCAGTTGTTCACTTGGCACAGTCTGAAAGAAAGAAAACCACAATATGTATTGGGAGCAAAGAATATGAGTTTGCTGCTCTGTTGGCACCAGACAAATAGGACTTGTAGTATCTGGAATCAGTAGATTACTGCTAGAATAATGAGGGACCCACAGATTGTCTAATGCCATCTTGGCAGGGGTTTCTCTCTCTGTGCACAGTACCAAAAAGTGACTTGTGGAGCTTCACAGCAAGGTCTGTGCTTCAAGCTGCCCGTAGCATCCCACATAAGACAACTGAGTTGAGCAACTGTCCCTCTGCCCCAATCCCCTCCCACAAAACAGAAAGGACGACAACATATGGATCTTTACCCATGAGTAGCAATCCATGCAAACCCAATGGAAGACAGTACCAGAGGGCCTTGTATTACAGAGAACAGAACTAGAAGGAACGTTCAGCCATTAATTTCACCATGCATCAAGGGTTATGGATATATAAAAGGTCAGAAATTAAAGCATCCCCTATTCTCATTTAGCAACATCCCAGCCCAGCAACACACTCGTTGCAAGAACTTTTATGTACTGCAAGCATTTCAGCATATCTCAAGCCATATTGCAAAAAACATTCAATAATGATTTCATGAACAGAAAGGAAAAGCCCAAAAACTTGGCAACAACCTGTTTCTACAGTGTATCAGAAATCAGACTTTAGAGAGACAATTTACATCTCACATACCCATCATTATCTCCTTGTTCCTCTTCATCATCACTAATCAGTAGCACTACTGGATTATCTGCTGCTCTGGAAACAAGTGGGTGCTGGTGGCTCTGCTCCAACTGTGGCAACGAGGTAGAAACAGAATCAGCTTAGGAACCACCCGAACACCCCCCTCCCTGCTCCCCCATTTCTGTTCCCTAACTGGATTTCGGCTGAAGGTGTTTGTTTCCCTCTTTCTCCTCCAAACAGGCAAATTCAGCTGTGATAGCCACAAACACTTTGTGTAAGATGAACAACTGCTGCAGAAAGGAAACCACAGGAACTGGGAGTAAAGAATTACAGTTTGTTGCTCTGTTGGCACCAGGCAAACAGGACTTGAAGTATCTGCAAATTGTCAGTCACTGCTGGAACTATAAGGAACTATAAGATCTGCCAGTGTCATCTTGGCAAGGATTTCCCCCTCAATGTACACCACCAAGAAGTGACATGGAAGGTCATGCTAATTGGAGCATCAAAGCAAGGTCTGTGCTTCAAGTTAACAAACTCCCAGTCACCAGAGCCCTCGGAGCAGGACTCCCCATGGCTTGGTAACGTTCCATGCCCAGGTAGCAGGAGTGCACTTTGCACCCTCATAGAGTTCCAGAATGCCTTGCCTTGGAAGGCACCTTGAAGATCACCCAGTTCCAACCCCCTGCCATGGGCAGGGATGCCACCGGCTGGATCAGGGTGCTCAGGGCCCTGTCCACCTTGGCCTGGAATGGGGCCTTCCAAGGATGGGACATCCACAGCTTCTCTGGGCAGCCTGTTCCAGTGTTTCACCACCCTCACAGTTCTTCCTAACATCCGATCCAAATCTCCCCTCTTCCATTTGAAACCCGTTCCCCTTTCTCCTATGACTCTCTGACTCCTTTAGACACTGGAAGGCTGCAGTGAGGCCTCCCCAGAGCCTGCTCCTCTCCAGGCTGGACAGCCCTGGCTCTCCCAGCCTGGCTGCAGAGGAGAGCTGCTCCAGCCCTCTGAGCATCTCTGTGGCCTCCTCCAGCCTGCTCTAACAGGCACATCCTGCCTGGATGCAGCACTCCAGATGGGGCCTTCCAAAGGCAGATCAGAAGGAGACATTCACCTCCCTCCACCTTCAGCCTGAGTAACACTGTAGCCTTTCCATGGCTAAGGAAACCCAACCAAACACCCCCTAAAAAAAGAAATTCAAACCCTTCCTTAGCCTTCCTCCTTCATGTTTATTAGTCTGTTGCTGCTTTTACCCTAGTAAACAGCAATTAAAACTAAATCAATTTTTTTTTAAACTGTTGAAAATCCAACAGTTAAGATCCTCATTTCAAGTCTCTGAGGTCTTGACATTTTCAGGTGTTCAGCTATTCCTCTGCCAGCATTTCACAACAGGGCTGGGAGGTTTGCTCTGCTCTTGGAGACAGCACCTTCCTACCAAGGCCCTGCTCTGCTATGAAAGGTGAGACAACAAAAAAAGTCAAATTAAAATTCTGTTTGCCTTCCAGCCAGTCTGCCACTGGACCTGCATTCAGAGGGATCAGCTGGGGCTCCTGAGAGAGGCAGCAACCCTGTCTCAGCCCTGCTGGATGCAGGAATGCTCCTCAGCCCCGGTCCCATGGGTATTCTCAGCTGTGGATAGTGTAAGGATATTTTCAGCTCATGCTCTACATGAGGAGGATCATTTCTTACAAAAATTTCTGTTATGATAACTCTTACTTTTAGGTAATTGGCAGCATGTTGAGAGTTTAAGAATGGGTAAGGATGACACTCCCATTTTCCTGAACCCTGTGTCTGGGAACTGAAGCAAAGGTTTCTGTCATTGAATTTGCATACTTAATTTCTCATATTCAGTGGTACTTAATTATTCAAATATTAAATATTTTTTAGGAATTTACCATCTTAGCATTTTTATATCAAGCCTTACATCTCCTTTAGGATTTTTGTAATCTAAACTTCTGCCCTTTGGACCCAACATTTTTGGAAAGCAAAAGCATTTAAGCTGAGATGAAGCACAAGTGGATTTACTGGACTATGAAACATTCCACATGTTAAAACAACGAGCCTGTCCACTCATGCTCCAGGCACAGCTGAGGTTGGCTGAGTGGACTCAGCACCACTTGTGTTTTGGGGCGGGACTGGAAGGCTTTTAGCAGGAATGTGTCCTCAGGGGTAAGGGAAGAGGGAACACTGAGGAAAAGGAGGGGCACATTTTAGTAAGTCAAACATTTGAAGGCTATTGGGCTTGATCTCCCTCATCACTGCTAGACAACGGCAGCAGGGGGCTGAGAGACTTCATGGTAAGGCCCAACACTTTTTAATTAAACCTGCTATTGAAAATATTCATCACTCAGTTGTGGGAGGGAGAGAAACCTCCTACCCATTCTCTGCAAATGCCAGGGAAGCTGTAAAGGCCACATACCTGTTTTATCTTCTCCCATGCGGGCAGTTTTGAAGCAAGGTGCAATACCTCTGAAACAACCCCTGCCTTTCCATCACAGGAAGGAAGAAGTTTATCAACTTCCAAAAAGAAAAGGTTAATTATAAGAGATGCTGATTTTGAGCTGTGGGTAGACAAATAACTGCACTCCACAAGGCAGCAGAGGTCCAGTAACCAGCCCAGTCCTTCAGCCCCATCACCATGGCTGTGGTTGCCCTCAGGGCTCCTGCCCACAGGGCACCCAAGCAAAAGAGGTTCTGATTGTCCTCATGGGCTGCCGGGGACTTGTGGCTGGTTATTGATGGGGGGTGCGAGACACCCGGCTCTCCTCATGGCTCAGCACAGGAACAGGGTTGCGCTCCCCAGAGCAACTCGGCAGACCAGTCCCTCTAAATCCACCATGGGGAAATGTCCCTCTACATGCACACAGAAATAGGAAAGGATTACTAAAAGGATTATCAAAAGAAGCCCTAAAAAGATGTTATTATTGACAAATAATAATTTGTACTAGTCTCACTGAGGATTGCATTTCACTTCATGTGTCAATATGTGCCTTTGCTTGACTATAGCAATGGCTGTGACTTCAGAATATGTTTCCCAAAATCTTCATAAGGAAGTGCTGGTGGGTGGTCTATTAGAGAAATATTAAGGCTGTTCAGAGTAAGTAAAAACATTTCTGACCTCCCCTGATGGTAGTCAGTAGTGAGTGGCTTGTTCTGCAGAACTAAAACCCAGGTAGGTTTCTTTTTGCTGGGGCTGCTTTGCACCTTCCTTAATACCTTCCTAAGTACTTCTCTTGGCAAAGGATGGAGGCTTTGCAGCATCTTCCATCCTCCAAAAACCTGGATATGCTTGGGCCTCCTCCAGTTGCCCAGGCTTGGCTGCCAGTTGAGGAGTAGGAAGGCTTAGCACTGGAAGGAGTGGTTTGCTGGGGGTCTGGGTGGCATTTCAGTACAGCTCAGTCCCTGGTCCTTGGCACAGGATGATGATGGGTCTCACTGAGTAACTACAGCCTGTCAGGTGAAAATTGCTATTGTCTTATAGCCATGTTCCTTCGCTTTTGAGAAGCGCTGCTTCCAGCTGCTCCCTCAGGTAGTGTTAATACTTGGAGTCTGTGTTTTCCAAGTGAAAATGAGTAACATTATTCCCAAGGGGAAAAAGTGGAAGTGAAAAGGCATCACATTCGCATGGCATGACACATGCCTGTGATGGGGACAGGGACAGCAGCTTACCAAGGTTCAGGAAGGCTCACTCCTGTTCTGCTCTGCAGGTTTCATGTGCAGGAAAACACATTTCAGGCCTGAAATACTGCAAGTGAAACAGAAACCAAGGGAAGTTGCAACTTCTGATCAGCTTTTTAGAGGCTAATATTGGGACAATGTTAACTCCTCTCTTTTTATTTTTTTAATTGACCTGATGGTTTATTATAAAACTATCCTCAATACCCTTACCTATTTCAAAAATACAGGTATTTTCTTAAATTCACTTTGAGGAGAAGACTGCAGAGCAGGATATTTCATTCAATTTTTCATTAAATAAAAGCTATAAGCAAAGAGAAAATTATTTTGGTTTCAGTTTTATTCTTTGTGTAGAATCTTAATCTATTAATGTAGAAAGTTTAATATCTTTTTATGATAATTGTAATAAGCTTAAACTTGCTAAGCATAAGCCACTGAACTGAAACCATGACAGCCAGGTTAGTTTAAGTGCAAGTCTGAGCATGGAAAGTTCAGAGGTTGTCTTTATTTTATTAGAGGCATGTAAGTAATACCAGACATATAGAGAGGTAAATGTATGATACCTAGGTTTTCCTTTTGTTAGAAAAGAATGGTAATAAAATCACGGGAACTTAGACTGAGACTGTACTTCAGGAATTTGTTATGTCAGGAAAATGCTCCCAGGCAAAAACACTGAAAATAGTATCTGGCTTAAAGGAAAATGTGTTTTTCTTTGTGCTGACAACTGAGCACTAAGACTGAAAACAACTTCAACTGTTCAGTTACTTTTTGCTAATCAATGCTTTTCTAGCTCAATACTTTTTTTCAAATTATGTATATATTCATTGAAAGGGTAAATTACTAATGCTAAATCAAAATCTTAAAGAAAATAGCCGCAGCTGGTGTCTAGCCAAACTACCATCTATTTAAACCCATTATAAAATCAGCTGTATGCCATTTCAGTGCAGGTTACTTAAAGTTCAAATTGACTTGACCTAAAGGGTTTTTTAATTGTTCTTTTCAATGAGAATACCTGGCACATCATGTCACATAGAAATACAGCTATTTAAAACAACATTTCTGCTTATTGTCATTGCATCCACCAGGTAGCTAAAAGTCAAGCAATAATGAGGAATTGAAAACATCAGTCTAAAATTTATGGCCATCCTATGAATAAATCATTTTGTATGTGTCTTCCTAAGAATGATAATTGAGTAATTTTGACAACTTGTAATTTATCTACTAGGAATGTCCCTTGTTTATTACTACCTCTGCCTAAATATGGCAACAGGACTAAGGAAGCAGATCATTAACACACTAAAGACAAAAATGAAAAGCCAAAAATAAAGATATATGTACACACAGACAACTCACTTTAACAGACAGAGGAGCTCAGTTCAGTTTGGTCATCTGTTTCCTGTTATAAGCTTACTTTTTCCAGCATTACAGGCTACAAGGGTAACATAGAAGAAGACTGTCAAAATGATTGAAAATTATGACTGTGCTAGGACAACATTTTGTTCATCCTATAGCTGGTCCCAGTGGGGCCAGACACAAAACAAATACAAACAGTATTTAGGTATGCACCTTGGACATCAAACTAGCTCCTTGCATAACAAGCAGCTAGAAGAACAACAGCTGTTCACTCACCAGGATCACACTGTCTAGTCACCTTGTTTGGGGAAGTCTAGGCTCTATTAATTCTTTACCATTTATGTATACAGAAACATAGAGCAAACTAACATACCTAAACATTGTGTTCACATTTCTAGAGAAAAGTACATGGCACAGAGTAGCAATTTAATCTGTGGTAAATTAGGTATTATCAGTTGTTGCAATTATCTTCCGCTTTTTTTATGCTTTTTTTCATCTGCTCCTCTTCAGTTTTCAATAAACATCATTTCATCTCAAGTATCATTCTTTATTATTCACACTAATATAGCTCCATCCTTAGATATAAGGAGGATTCTGTTCTGAGAAGAAAAGAAACCAGAGCCCATTGATGCCAATAGCAACAAGGTCACAAAGCAGTATTACAAATGGAATGCAGTCTCACTAATCCTGTAAGCCATCAAGATGACGGATACTGTGAGATGCCATCAAAATATTCCCAATCTCTAGGGGAAAAAAAAAAATGTCGCAAACTCACTTTCTATAGTTTGGCTTATCCAAGAAAAATGGGATGTCACGATGCATATAAACGCAGCTCTACTTTTACTCCCTTGCTTCTATAAACCTTTTCCTCCTGTGAAGCCTATTTCTATGTAGGGCAGCAGATATAAAATAATTTACTTAAGTCACAAATAAGAAACACCTGTGGGAAACTGTCATCAACATGAAAACAGGTACTTTAAAAAAATGGGGGAAAAAATCCACCACATGAAACAGAGATTGGTATTCGGATTCTTGTGTGACTATTTTTCTTGACTATCCAAAGCACCTAATAACCTCTTAGACTATTTGTTCAAATAAGGCTCCTTTTCCAACTCTGTTTCTAAGAAACACTGAATTTTTTATCCTTTATTCAGTAGCGCATATGCTCCCTGTGGCACATCCCACGTTCCTTCTTTTCAAGGAGATCCAAAAACTATTATAGACTATTGATACAGGTATTGTAGAAACTGTGAAGCATGTAACAGCACGGATCTTTGCTCTACTAAAAGCCATTTATTACTGCATAACATCAGATCATGCCAAATATTCAACATCACCATAATTAAAACATTGATATTGCTACCCATTGCCTGGAGCAGAGCAGTATGAAAATCCTTACTGTAAACAGCATCAAAGTTTCCAACAGGTATCTCACCTTGATGAGTTCTTCCTTCAGCACAAAAAGGTCATGAAGAAACATTTTCTCACTCCAGAAAAGTAATTTAACATGTTCAGATTGACACACCACTATCTCAGAAAGCAAATTCTCTTTGGGCAAGTATGAGAGAAAACTCTGGAGATAATTGGTATCACCATGTATTTTATACCTGCCATTTATACCATTGCCATACCAACCTCCAGTTACTCCTGTAACTATAAAGAGCTGCAGAACTCAGGCTAAAGGTAGGAATTCACTCCTTCTTGCTCACTTCTGTGCTTCTAAATAAGCGGGCAGCGTCCTTCAGTTTTTCACATGAAAAAAACCCCAAGCATTTAGATCTTTTAGATATCACAGTATCTATGAAGAATAAAATATTTCAGGATTCTTTTTTCCCTCTAATATCTATTGTTTGTAATTCAGCTTGCCACATGAACTGAAGCTATGTTCACAGTTTTCAAACTTACGATTATTTAAATTAAAACATGGCAGAATTCATAAATATGTAAAACCCTTAAACATGCAGCAAAAATTTCATTAGGAGCTATTTTCCATTGTGTTAGTATCAACAGATGATTTTAAATTAGGGTAGAAAACTGAACACAGAAAGCTTATTTTCATTTTAGAGTAACATGACTGTGACTGATCTTTTCAAATCGTTCCACGATCGCAACTTTGACCAAATTTTAAACTGAACATAAAATCAATGAAGATATAGAGACAAAGGAACTATTCTTAAAAATTTCTTCTGACAGCAGAGTTTCTTACAAATAGGAAGCAATACACTTCAATTAGCAAAGGTGATAATGAAGTATGCATTTGCTGACATCATCACTAGCTCCCACTATCTGGTCCATGGATAACTAGGGGCTTGATTTCTTCAAACACAATTTCAAATACCTGCTAACAGAATTCTTGTGTAATACTTAATACTTAAATCTTGTTAAAAAATGACTGGCAAGTTTGAATACATTTTTAATAAACAGAATGAGGCCCAAAGTAATCTGATGAACTTTTATTAAAAATAATCTTCCTACAGTAGTATGGAATTCTTTAGCAAAGTCAAGCCACCACCTGTTCCACATCCTTCTTCACTAACACCATAAATCTGATCTTTTCTGTTCCTCTAGTGATCAGCACTTCTGGCTGATAACTGCTCTGCTTATAAACCCAAACGCAGTTTTGACCACAAACGCAATTTTCAGGCAGCCAAGAAACAGTTTTACTGAAAAGGAAACCACCTTCCCTTCAATGAGACCAACTTTTTTCTAAACCTTTACAGATGGATATAATTCCATGCACAGTCATTAGATCCAGAAACTTCTCAGAAGAGAACCAAAAGTTGCTTAATGACACATCGCAAGTTGATTTGTGATGCTCTGCATGCAGTTTGCTTTTTAAGACTTTTTGGGTTGCTTCCTTTTCTGAGCGCAATGCGTTCAAGATGCGTGATGTCTGGTTCCCAGCTCTGCTTCTATCTGCTGGATGTCATTATGCACTGAAGATTTATGTTCTATTTCAAATCGAATGCAAGTTTCACACTCTAAGTAGGGGTGCCCACAAACATATTGTTCTTTGGAGAACAACTCTCTGGTTCCATAGATATAACTTGGACAGAGTAGTTCTGTTCTTCTGCAGCCCATGCCCGATCCAGATCCACAAGCCCCATACACTGTTTTCCTAAAAGGAGAGCAAGGGAGAGCACGGAAACTCAGAATGTAGAAACGTTATCAGAAATGTGCACTTCAATATTTAATGTTAGGAAAACACATCAGTAAGTCATCTAAAAATAAGTTCCACATCTCCTTTAAAAACCATCTTAATCTGTTTTACTTCAAATAGACACTCTTTAATAGTTCCAAATCACATCTGCGACTTGTAACCCTCATTTAGCAAAGATCTTGAGAAGATTATTAACTCTTTATATATGGAGAAAGCTTAAAAACAGTCTTGCCTTTCTCAAAATGTACAGAAAAATCCATACTTTAATGTAAAAGCCACAGGAGGAAGAAAAATGCCTCGTTTACCCCTTAGCTCTCTGAATTTCCAAACTTCTACTCCCTTTATGACCATAACTGTTTTCCTCCTGTACTTTCATCTAAAATCTGAAAATCTCTGATTATTGAACTTCAACAAAAAACTACAATACAAAAAAGTTATCCAGTCTAACTGATTTGAGACATATTAATGTAAATACTTGTAAACAAGAATACTACATTGGTAATGCAAATTAAGCTTATCTCAGATTTATCTGCAGAAAAACAGGAAGGATAAATGGAGTTTTTCAGCTTAGACATTTGTATTACGATACAGCCATGCCAAGATGATGGGACCATTTGTCTTTACTTATTTACTCATTATAATTGATTATTATGGTCTGAAATACTGAATTGACTTGTCAGATTGTATTTCAGCAGTTTGAAACGCTATTGCAAGAAAGATTTAACACTTCCCTGAAACGTTTTATGACTAACAGTCATACAGTCTCAAGACCTGAACAGGGTACAATTACTGTTTGTGGCACTATTCTTCCCACATTTGTGGCTTCATAGAAGATCACCTTCTGTGGCTGGTTAAACAAAATGGCATGTACACATTCCTGCCACTGACAGCAACATCCTTATTATTCCATGTGTACACACTAAAGGGCAGCTGGGGTTGTCACAACTGGGGCCTGGTTCCCTGGGTGCTCTCAGTAAGACTGTGTGAAATGCATGGAGCAGTTCTGTGTAAGCAGGTGGGTTGTAGCAATGTCCACAAAGCCATTTAACCATTCAGTCTGCACTGCTGCATATAATGTGTAAAAGTCACATGTCCAGTGAAAATGATACACAGAACTTCGTTCATTTAAAAGGGAACTGCTGTGTGCAGCAGAACTGGGTTCAACTGCATATTTTTACCTTCACAGATACTATAGAAATCGGTGATAACTCCTTCGACAAATGTGTTGTTTCAGCGATGACAGTCACAGAAAAATGCTGTATTTTAACTTACAGGTAATGAAAGCAAATGATTTGTCACTTATCTGAAGCTACATAAATTCAGTGGTAATAGCTAAAATGTAGTTTACAATATAATCCTAAAATACTAAAAAAGTAGCAGAATAAGTGATTTTTGCCACCATTTACATGAGAAGAAAAAGCCTCCACCTGTTCAGAAATAATCTCATTAACTGAAATACACAGTTTTCTCAATACCTGCTCATGCACTTACCAAAAACATTCTCACCATGACTGTAACACTGATCGCATGCAATTGTTTGCAAGGAAAAATACTGCTAAACAAGACTCCCACAAAATCAGTTTCAAAGCTGAAGCAGAACAGGGAAATGGGAACCATCTTCAATGAAACAGACTAATATTACAGGGAACTTTAAGAAAAAGTAACATTCTTGAAAACAGAAAAAGCAATGATGTAGGGGAAGAGGAGAATAAGATTTATATTCATGGGTTTTTGTCAGAACAAAACACATGAAAGTTACATTTGTGGAAAAAACCCCTGCCGTTTCAGACATGGTCAACAGATAAAAATTACAATCTTTCAAAAAATAAATTTGGGTCCTATTTCAATTTTCAGTCCACAGTGTGGGGTGCTACACTGGTAAATGAACACTGTCCTTTTTAATTTCTTTTTTTCAAATACTGTGATGATAACAAAAGAAGCTGCAAAATTTCTCATCAGCTTGTATACCGAATCTGTATAACTTTCTTTTTGTGCCATGAGCATAAGAAATATCTTGAATGCTTCAAATTAAGCTTTTAAAAAACATTATGATTATTTGCTACTACTGCTTTAATGTAGCTTGTAAGTATTTCTTCCAAGCCAAGAATGCAGAGTTATGTTCTTAGAGTTCCAAGCCTCATCTGTCTTTTCTGACCTGGAAGCTCATTTATAGCTTCCATCAGAACAAGGACCACGCTTTTGTAAGTCAAAGCTTATGCCACATATTTGAAGTAGTTTGTATTTTGCTGTCCTTCTGACCAAAGCCAGCCCAACCTCTGCAATTTACCCTTATTGTTTGCAGCTGGCATTAGATGTCTACCCTCCTAAGAGAGTTACCTCCAGTGACTACGAGCAGGACAAAGGGGGCACACCGAAAGTCACTACTACGAATAGTCTGTGCTTTCAATGGAAGATGAACCGGCAGCAGCAGGACATCAGTGAACTTTACTAAGATCTCATGCTTTTCATAAAATGGTAGGGGAAAAAAAAGTCAAGCAACTAAAATAAAATAAAATAAAATAAAAAATCAGTAAAATGTAAACTCTCTATCTCGTATTGGTGATTTTGACATAAGGGAAGAGTTTCTATACCATAGAATGGAAGAGTAAGAGTGAAATGTGACAAAACTAAAATTTTTCAAGTTTTATGTGAAGACAGCAACTTAATGCCCCATTCATAAAGGTCTACTTCTTCCTTTATATATCAAGTGAAATCATTACTGAGATGGTTTACACAGCAGCTGCAGAAATTCATACCAATTAGCCTGCGTTCAGGTGGAAGCTGAACAGCTGTCTGATCTGCAAATCTGCAGAGAATCATGTGCTCCTAAAAAAAAAAAAAAAAAAGAAGATAAAGCAAGAAAAATCTAATTAAATGTTTAAAAGTATTAAAAGTGCTATTACACTGAAGACTGTATTTCTAGAAAATTTATCTGTGTGCAAATCCCAATTTTTATTCCGCAAATATGTGTGTAAATCAAGATTTTGTAATCACTATCTCATTTCTCCTCATTAGTATTTGTTCCTTGCTAAACTTTCTCATTCTTTTCAGCACTTGAATTGGATGCAGTGTATACAAGAGAGCATTCTTCAAAGACATACTGCAGACTAATTTTGCCTTCAATAACTGATAAGCAACACAGTCTTCTTTTAGCGCAGTCATCATAGGGCTGCACCTCTGCATCAATAAGCAGCCAAGATGAAATTCTTAAACAGGTGATTTGAACTACTGCACACTTCTCCAAGCAGTGATTTTGAATCCCAGAAGAACAGCCTCATGGTCAAACTTCCTCTGCCCTGCCAAATCCAGTCAGGATCAACTCAAAAGATCCTGAAGGCAAAAAATACCTGGCTGTGAACAGGAAAGCCTCCTCCATCAAAATTATCATAATGCAATTTCAACCTATCCCTGTTCCACTAGGAATTTTTGCAAAGGCTTCTACAACAGCTGCTGTTGATTTCTTCCTATCCTGTCACCCAGGGGGATGGTGCAGTGGAGGATGCATTTCATTCCCTGTTTAGATCACTACACAAGCAGGTAGAACCCCATATCCTCATTTGCCTTCAAATCCCACCACCTATGTCAGCACTATGATTGCTCAAAGACCAGGGAAGCCAAGGAATGCAAGTTAGCCAGATGGTGAAAGAAAAAGCCTTGCAGGTGTAGCAATGAAATGAATGCTCTGATGACAGCTGTGCTCTTTGGGACAGCTGCAATATTAAGTACAGGACAGTGTAAATCAGAACCATCTTAGAATTGTACAACATTCCCAAGTCTCCTACAATGTCACAGGGAGAAAACAGAAATGGACAACAACAAAAAGTGCTCTCCAAAGCAAAACTTCCAGAGCTATAGTTCTGAAAAAAAGCCATGTGTCTTGCATCAAAAACTTTTTTTTTTTTTAAATTCTTGCCTGATATAAAATTATGACATTAAAGAGTTGGTTCTTGTACCAGGTGGAGAGAGCAACTTCACCTAAGGACACCTCAGGTTCTTTCAGTATTCTGAAGTAAGAATACTTACTCCAGCTTTTTATCAGAGGGACATAAACATCCAAGAGTTTCTATTCCACTAAAAAGCTTCATATTAAATCAAGATGGTAACTACCCCACAGTACACTCCATCCAACTCATAAATTTAATAGACACCTGATCGCAAAAAATTTTCTTATATACTATAAAATAAAATATTATCATTTGATACTCAAATATTACTAATTTAAATAAATTTACACTATCTTGAGGCAAGGATATTTGTTCCCTAGTACAGCTATTGGCATGAAGGTTTCCAGCTCACAGCTTCATAAAAGATATGGAAGCAAAATGAGAATGTGTTATAATACATTTAGGACTTACATGCACTCCACCCCCCCCAGTTCCATTCAAATGTGGCTATTTTTGCAGTACAAAAGAGTTGAAAATGTTAACCCAGACATGAGTACTGGAGAACAAAGGACAAAAAGAGCCATGGGCAATGTGGCCACTACTAGGAGAGAAGCAGCAGTGATAGGCAGTCTGGGGAGAAAAACAGGGATTTAGAGGAGAGGGAAAAGATCCGTCTTAGCACACAACTCCTCACCAGCCTTCAGGCACCCAATACAACTTGGCTCTTTGCAACATCAATATTCCAGTTCTTTGGACCAGACCAGAGCCGAGGTGAGCCTTATCACTTAACCTGAAAATCTGGACTGACTCCAATGCCTTGGCTTCTTAGAGAGGTGATCCAAAGAGATAAATCAGAGCATGTTATGACTACATTGTTTACCCATGACACACATTAAATTTTCAGAAATAAGAAGAAAAGCATTTCTAAAATAATGAAGATTATAAACTGCCCAAACTTTGTGTGTGCATGAACAGTTAACCTGCTTACTAGAACACCCTTACCTTCAATTCCTATTAAATTTCCAAAGCAAAAAGTATATGCAAAGTTATACAGTTCTACTTTCTAATTCTCCTTGTGTCTTGAGAAACAGTCTCAAAATGTATCATGGTAGAAATCTACAGATACCTTATTCTTTGCAACTATAAAATAATGAATTACAGCATAATGTTCTCATCAAAAAAGTTTTGGAAATTCCAGACTGCTGGATGTCTTTTTAGATCTCACGAAAATAAAAGATAAGAGAAATTAATTTAAAATGGGAACTGGAGGGGGTGACACAAACAATGTCTGGCTAACACATGGCAACTCTGGCTGCTAGCCAATAACCTGTAACAATTTATTAATATGAAATATAAAAATGCATACAGCTAGCTGCATAACAAAAGTTATTTATAACTAGGATTATTGGAGGCACCAACCAGCCTAGACCATTTGTATAGACTCTTATGTTATTAAGAGCAGCAATATTTTCTAGCCTTGTCTTTGACTCCTGTACCCTCTGCAGCACAAATAATAAAATGCTGGAATCTACAGTGTTGACAAACCCTGTGATTTAAATCTCCATGGATTAAAAAATTAGGAAAAAAATTCACTGAGTTGTAATGAAGTTATACAACTATTCTAATCTAGGCATCCCTGACTTTATACTGTCACCATCTCCCTCTGTGCTGTTAACTAGTTTATTTTAATAATGCTAGTAAATGAATTTTTTCTGAACAGAAACCTGAGCTCTTTGTGATTATGTGTTAGAAACATATAAATTTAAACAAGGGGAAAAACTATGACAGGTCCAAATCCATTGTGCGGCTTTTGTCATCTCAATCTGTGGGCATTTATTTCCATGTAAATTAGCAAAGTGTACATAAACCAGACTGTCATGAAAGTAAGATTAGTGTATTAGCAGATAACTGAATTTCCCTTAGAAGATGGTTGGAAATTTTCTTAATTTTTAAAACCCCTTCTTATTTGAGGATTAAAAAGGATAATCTCCATTTTCCTGCCACATACAGCATCTTTGCACTGCTCACTGTCCCAAAAAAAATTTGGATATTACAAATACCTTCCCTTGCTTTCATATTTCTGTTATAAAGAATTATTCTGCATCTCCAAAATTCATTTCTACATTGTAAACACCAAGACCTCTGTCTAGGGTTTGACATGTAAATTTAATAAAGTTTCTCTATAACCTTGCTTCACTCAAAAGGAAACATTTTCTTTCCATGCCACATTAAGTGCATCTAAACGCTCATGACAAAGTTGAACAGATCAGCACCAGTTTTCAGCTGTCCACCTCTCTGCTCTTGTCCTTTTTCACTCCCCTGTTATCTTCACTCTGTCAGATCTGTGTGCTTCATTGATTCTTTCTCCTACATTTCTCTTGGACTACCTCCACAGACCCTTCCTTCGCAGGGTAAAAATGCACTTGAATACTTTCAAAATAATTTTGAAAAACATTTTTGAAACAATCCTGCATAAAATTCTTGCTGATCAGTACAAGCTTTTCCTACTTGGTATGTCCAATCTTTTAGATATAAATTAGAGGGAAAAAACCTAACGATTTTTAGAAAATAACAGCTCTATTTAAGACTTAAATAAATTGGCGTCTTGTAATTGTTAATGGATACATGCTGAAGTACTTTAGGAATGGCTCACTTATACATTATGATAAAACAAGGGGGTTTTGTAGAGAAACTATTTAATTTTATTGAAGAAAAAAAGCCTTAAAACATGGATGGTGGAGAGAAAACACAATGACATCTGCACTATTAATGAACATTGCACATAACACATGCCACTCCTTGCAATTAAAAGATAACCACCTATATTTCATTCGACAAAATGACCCAGTGACACACAGGAAACTGCACGTAAACCTTCCCACCTGCCATTTTACATACCTTGTAGGACAAAATTTCTTTGAACTGACGACTGAAAAAAAAATAAATAGACCAATTTAATTAACATCTAAAACCAGCAGAGGTGGAAAGTAGGAGCAATTATTTAATACTTGAACACATTTTAAACAAAGTAGCAGTATCTGTATCCTACAGAAAGGCTTTCAAAAATACCAAACCCCATTGCAGCTCCCATTCACTAGAAAAGGAAAAGTGTACCTGATGGTGCCTTTTTTCCCCTATTATGTTATTCATAAAAATATTCTCTCTCTAAATCATTATAAATACTAACACAGATTTACTGTTCTTTCCTCATTGTCATATAAATACTTTATATATATTTAATAATACTCTAGACAAGCACATATTTTGTTTGTATCGCAAAAGTAAGGGGCCTTTACAAAGGAATGGACTACAGAACACAGACACTACGGGGATATGGGCTGACTATCATGTTTTATGATCATATAACATAAGGAAAAAAAGAAAAAGCAAACCCTAAAATGCAGCTCAAAATAGGGTTAATAATCTTCTACAGAGGCTTGTGATGTTAGATTCAAAATTTTATCAAACACGAAACCCTACTTTATATTCTTGCAGCATCTATAGCAACAAAACTTTTCTAACATAGGGAGCATTTCTAGTCTTAGTGGTCCAAAAACGTAACTGGTCAAAAGTCCAACATTATACAGTCAATTTTAAAACAAGCCAACTGAGAAAAGCTATATGCCTGCTAGTTTTAAAAGACTTAAAATTTTATAGCCTCTTCCTTAAGAAAACTTATTTGTTTTATTGTGTTTCAAGAGAAAACAAAAATGGACACACACAAAGAGATGGAAGAATCAAATGGACTAAGAAAACACAGTTAAATCCAAAGCTTATCAAACTGACAAATTCTAAATATTTACTCTCTACACTTCTGTGTCAGCACACTTGGGTATTAGAGAAGAATATGAAAATATGAAAAATATTTAACATAGATGCATAAGATTTTTTAGATTTATTGATTCCTTGTCAGACTGCATGTTTCAGTTTGTTATTTTAGCAAATATATACTTCTGTCACTTCCTAGTAGAATTAAATCTTGGACATCAAAAATGCAAAGCTCAGCTATATGAAAAAAAAAAAAAGCCAACCAAAACACAACCCTCTTCTGCCACCTAGTTCTGATTCAGAAGGCTGTAGTCTCTTATCTTCTGCCACTTTATGCTTATCTTTTACATTCTATTTATAGCAAAGGCATTAAAATTCTTAAGCATAAGATACATAAGTATCTCCCACATGGCGGATTTGAAGACAAAATATGTACACAGTCCATTGAAAAAATACTAAAAATATGAACTGAAATACAGGAGAGCTTGTCTACTTGGGAATAAATCAGAGAAGTTCCACAAGCAGTAAACTGTGGTATAAAGCAGACAATTCTTAAGGTGATTGCTTACATCTTTCTGCAACATTAAAATGTCAATTCCCCTTCTTACAGTAATTTTCGTGAGTTTTCTATTAACTTTGTGATTTAAAGGTAAAAGGTCTGCATATTACATACTGTATCTACTATGCTCCTTGCACAAAGTCTCCTGAACTATGAAAGATAAATCCAGAAAAAAATAATCCAGCAATTACCAATCTGCCTCCCTTTCATGATGGGTTGGCAAAGACAAAGGAGAAAACAGTTTCATTCTAAGTGTGAATCAGCTTAGCCCAGAAACTCGCAATGATCCTCAACTGATTAATTCTATACTCTCTTAGTATTTTATCCCATCACTTAAGTTGATATTTTAAGGCTTATCTTGTTAGCTTTCGTTTACCTTCGTGGATATTTGAACTTGACTGTGTTTTGAATGAAGCCATAACAGCAAGGGGAGATGACAAAGGCTGCCCGTGCCCGGATGCAGTGCTCAATCACCATGTCTGTGGCCACACCACAGGCGTGCAGAGCCACCTACAGCAGTAAAAACAAAAACCAAGGAAACGAGAAAATTCCTTACAGCAACATTCTAAATACAATCCCGTTCAGCATCAACACTGAAGAAGGGTCACTCACCAAAAGTACTCAGAAGGAAGTGCACTACATCACAATATCAAATAAATTAAAAACAAAGTTCCAGAAAAATAGTTACAGAGAAACTATTTGTGGTAATTAGTTAAAGGTTTTTGTCAAGCAAGAAGGACTTAGAAACACAAAGAACTATTTCAGAACTGGATTTCAACTTAGCAGTAAGAGAAGTAACACATATATCTGAAGGTCACATTAAAGGAGAAAATTTAACATAATTTAGATCATTAGATTTTAAGATGTTGAATAAAACCTCTAGAAAAAGAAACAATGGAGGTGGGGGGAAGCATCAAACACAGCTTGCCCTCCTTTTTTTTTTTCTTCTCCTTAATCTTTTATTTCTTCTTCTTAGTGATGGGCTCTTCAGCTAAAACTGGAATAACATTTCATCATAACTACCTGAGAACACTGACATGTGTTTGGGCAATGCACAGGTTGCACCCAAATTCTTCATGCTCTCCTACAGAAAGGCAAGTTACTGCAAGGCAAGTTACTGCAGTACTCAATAAAGTGCAAGGAAAGGCAAGCAGCTCTCTCATCTCTGTGATGCCAAACGGGCCAGGTGAAATGAAGACATTACTTACTCTGCCTCCTCCCATGTACTCTGTACCCCAAAGAGTAGGCCTGGTGCATAGATATTGCTCTATGTTTTCATTGAACTAAGGACATTTTTGAGACATTTGTAATTTTATTCAGCAGTGTGGATTTATAAAACTACATTGTTTTCTTTTCTTTTGGTTCACTGTAAAGCTTTAAAGGGAAAAGCTTTAAAGCTGCACAGCTCAGATTTCAGGATTCAAAGTTGTTTTTCAAGGTAGAGCAATTGGAAGACAAAACCTTTGCTCTCAGATATAGATTAAAACAAAGTCTTTTTTTGTTTGCACTCTGCTTGCTGTAAGCTCAGCTCAGCAGACCATTAATCTGCAACTGAAATGTAACTGCATACAGATGGAAACAACTATTTTTTTCTCAAGCAGAACATTAAAAAATTAACAAGAAAATAATTTCACAATGAAAGTTTTTTGCTCATATGAATTTAACAAAAATAAAACTAGTTTAACATCAGAAATAGAGTCTTAATATCACAGCTATCAGATTAGCATAGAATGTAATTATAGTTACTTCCTCATCTATCCAAGCAGAAAACAAAGAACTTTATTTTGCTTGCACATCTGAAAAACAGACCGTAAAACAGCAGCAGATAAAACCAGTAGCTTTGCTGAGCCTATATGACCTGTTACACCAACTGATTTCTTCGTGTTTCTCAGAACCAATTTACTTAAGGAAAAAAAAATGACAAAATTAATGACAAAGCTTTCTCAGGATATCCTGTATATCCAACTCACTGTCAGAAACAAAATAAATTGTGAAGACTAAAGCAGATATGCAGATATTTGGTCCACAAATCCAAACACCTGTAAACACAGGAAAGCAAAGTGGCCCCTGATGAGAGCAACAGAGCTAATGCAGCGTGAGAGCATTGTCCTGTATTAGACCTCTGGTACTGCAACTGCCCAGAACAGTCCAGTGCACACAGAAAAGCAAAGGGAAAAGAATGTTTCCTGAAACTTCAGGTTTACTTTAGTGATCTTAAAAATAAGAGTACTCAACACGCTCAAAAATATCCCTGCTCTCCAACCAAACGTTAAACTTTTCAACTTGTTCTCACAAATTAGCTGAGATACTGTGAGTACTATAGAAATATTAAAAACAGCTGAGATCTCAGACTCCTCTGGGTGTTGGCATGTAAATGAACACTGCACGCAAGTATTTGGAAGTTTTCACTTTAAGACTGAAATAATTTATTGTGGTAGGTGGTTGTACTACAACATGTAATAGTACAATGCACCAGTACATTTGGCACTCAAACACGTTGTTTCAGAACCTTGACCATCATTATCCCAAGAGTTCATAAGGGCAGAAATTTCATGCAGACCAAAAGGGAAGTGGTTCACATAGGGTTTTTTAACCTGCTTTTGAACTCCTGACAGATAAAAAAAAGCTAAATAACGTACATTTGATGTCAAGGTAACTAAAATGCATATAAACCTATTTTAAACTAATACCAAACCCAGAGACAGTGACTTCAGTCACATTCATTTTTCTATACCTCTCTAAATTTCAAGTGAATTTGTCATTGTGTCCTTCCTCACATTTACACTATTGTTTTACTGAAAATGGTGAAGTCATGCAATGAGTGAATAGCTTTACAAGTCTCAGAAAATGGGTTTAAATATGGCATATTGACAAACTTTTTATTTATCTATGTATTATGGTATCTATATCCATTTTTGTATCAGACCAGTGTTTATGACATAATGAGGCAAAAGTACCTTTATATAAAAGTATAAACTTTATATTTTTATGTTCAAACATAGGTCAGCAAACCAGAGAGCTCCCATCTTAAATATGCCAAGGAAAGTTAATCCTAGGTTGATGAGCTAATCCTGAAGAGTGAATCATGGTATGATACAAACTAATTCTGAAGCTGACATTGATACAGGTCTCCCAAAAAGGAAAAGCTCCAGGTTTGTCTGTTGAATAGACAAATCAAGTCAAAGAAACTGAAATCACAGGCCCAGAAATGAAGCATTTCCAAGTGAATTCTTCTGACATATACTTCAGTGTTTTCCTTGTCACAAAACTTGAAAGAGAGAGTATAACACTTTTTTATTAAATAAAAACTCTACAGAAATATTTAACACAGTATTAACCTTTAAAATAGACCCCCAAAAATTAAGACAGGAATTCCAATGATCACAAAACTGGAGACGCATTTCACAGAAAAACTATTAAACATTTCACACACACAACTCAGTAAATTATTCACAAGATCCTGATATTCCTGAAATAGATCTTTAGTTCATCCACTGAGATTTATATGACACTCTAGCACAAAAGCTAAAGCCAGAGAATTGAAAATTTACACTTGGAAGGACTGGGCTAAAACCATTTATTCTCTCCTCTTTCTCCGGCACTGTGTTTGTTTTCCTTTATCAAATAAACCAACAGAATAGTTAAACAGCACTGTTCATATACCATAAACCTTCAGCATTAAATGTCCTCAGCTACAGCCAAAACAGGCCCTTAGATGGATGATTTAAAGAACAGTCAGTCTTGCATGGAAAGCTTGAGCCTTGCCACAGAAGTTCATATTCTAGTAACAGAATAAAAAAGTAGAAGAATATTTAGAGAGTTACAAAATACTATTTATGCCTTATTCTTCACTAGGGCTGCAGAGTTCTAGAGAGTGTTCATCTCATTTATTTTCAGGGTCTGTAAGGATATAGAGAACTTTCTTCTCTCAGCTATTTTAGTTATTCTAAGAATAATGAACCAGACACTGAAGTTTTGAACTGGAAAAGTTATAATCACTTACCCCGATGTTAAAAGTCCCATTAAAATAGTCCAAATTTGCTTGAATGAACCAAATGTTGTTTAAACCTAGTTCATCACTTCTGTCTTTAGCACGGATCAGAGACAACTCCTTATTTTCTATGAGTACCACCTAGATTTCACATATAGGAGAAAGGCAAAATAATACTGAGAAATCAAAGTACAACATTACCAAGCAGAAAACTTTCTAGCTTAGTTGAGAAAACCTCTGAATTACTTGTGGTAGAGTTTGTACCACTACTTGTGGTAGTGATCTACAAAATGATTATCTGGAAACCCAATAACAATTGAAGGCATTTAATACTTGCCAATATTGATCAGCTTTCAAATATTTTATATTTTCCTACAACTTTTGTCTTCTCAGGAAAGCACCATGCACATTTGGGAGTTATGCTAAAAATTTCCATGTTTCAAACCTAAGTCCTCTGCTGAGACAACTGTGATGTCATGTGCCTTCCCTATATGCATATCTTTTTAAGGGGATCATCAGAGACCAAAAGCTCGTACTATCTGTACTTTTTATTGAGAATTTACCTGACATGATGGCATCATGTGAGCAAGAACAATTCCAACATGGCCCTGTGAAAACAAAAACAAATGACATGATCTGAATCACTTTTTGGTGTTCCCAGCTGTTCACTCATTACATGATGAGCATCCCATAAACAGTGACAGAACCTTTGAAAGCAGGTAAAATTTCGGCATTTGTACTTCTGCTTTGCTTTGTGGCAGCAACCACCCAGAACAGCAAAGATGAAAGCTGAAATAAATGGTACCACATAAACAGAAATATACATTACCCCTCCACTGCAAAAATCCACAATCACATCTCCAGGCTTTGCAAGCTTTGTCACCACTGCTACCAAATTGTTCAGTTGCTGTTGCTTCCTGAGAGCCCGGTCTCTAGACATCTTTCCTGGGAAGGACAGAGAAAATGCCGAAGTAGAGACCAGCAGTTCTCAACACTGATACTTTTAAATTGGTAACTGCAAAGGACTGCAAGTGAAGTTTGAGGTTAAAACTGGCTGAAACACTTGTGCATCTTAATCCACTTAAAACTAAATTCACATATTTGGTAGAGCTTTCTCTAAAATTAACCTTCCACTTGTTGCTGTTAATGTATCCTTAGGAACAGACTCACATAAACTTAATGTAAAGCAACCAAATCAGTGTAAGCTCTAGCCTGACTATACTCTAATCCTGTGATTCATTCTCAGAAACAGAGCTCAAACTTTCCCTAATAACCAGTCCTGTTTATTTAAACGACTGTGTGTGCAAGGAGGTACTTTTCAAAGCAACTATTCTTACATAGTGATCACATCTGTAACACAACCAGAAATGGAAAACCGACTTATTTCTTTCAAATGTGCTTGGTAAAGTCCAACATCCAGTTGCTTCAGATATAACGAATTTGTTTAGTCATCACTTATGTATTTGTAAAGATGCATTTTGTCTCAGTGGGGCTGAGTGCTGACAGACCTATTTAATACTCCTTTCGTTTGTTCAGAAAGCAGAGTTTGGCAGAGATATTGACAGTTCATCTTTACAATAAGAAAAAAGGTACTGAAATAACTCTCTTGAATGAGTTTTCACAAAGGAGGTTTAGGGGTGCCAAACAGTACAAATGTTCTCTGAAATAAGAACATTTTTCTTACTTGGAGCATCACACTATATGAGAGTATGGACACTCTTCAGTTTCATATAAAATTCCTTATACTTTTCTACTAAAAGTTTGTGTTTCCCAGTACCGAGGTGTAGTTTCGAATAAAATCCACAAATCTGTGAAGTTTCCTGGTTACTATAAATAGGAGCAGTTCAATACTCATCATCGTCATCAATTGCATTTATTATATAGTTTATTGTTTAAAACTCTATCCTGAAAACGTATACCTTTGTATATTTTATCATAAATAACATTTCACTTTACAAATAAACCATCAAATTCAACAGACAGATAAAATTATTACTACATTGCTCTACACAGACTGAGAAAAAAAATCACTTTTCAAGATACTACATTCTATACTGCCAAGGCAAAGAAAAGAGAAAAACTGTCAAGAAGAGGCAGAGGAAGTAGGGCAGACTTCATTATGTGCAGTTACTGCATACTTTTTAAAAAAACAGAGTAATGACATTTTAAAAATATATTCCTAGGCCACTGCATGGTGACGTATTAAAATGTGTACTAGTTCTTAATGGAAATGAGAGACTGAACACAACCTCCTCGCTTATCAACTCTTTATGTATAAAATTGTGAATTTTATAAAAATAAAAACATGGTTATATTTCAAACATTTTTTTAGACTCTGTGAAAGTTACCATAAAGAAGAGTCCCAGAAATTTTATCTTTGCAATGATAAAAACGTATACAAGGACTATAGATATGAAACCTTTAACATATTACATAAAATGATTAAATACATTTTTAAGAATCATCACTTACACATGAGTAGACCCTTTGAAAAAAAGCTTTTATGAAAGATATACTGAAAACCCTAATTCCTTGTGTGTGTGTCAAGTATCTACGTGAACTGTTCCATAGCTTGTCTCTAATTTCTATGCTTCCATCTGATAAACTAATGTTCAAATGTTCTCAACACCTACAGTTCTAACTGTAGTCATTGAAGATGCAGGAATTCCAGCAAGTGTAAAACCAAGTGCTGTTTGAGCTAGAAATTCAGTTTCTGAGGTCAAACTTGTAATTTTTTAGGTATACATGTGTTGTGATGATTAATACCCAGAAAATCCTATACCTAAACCTCACACAAGGATGTTCTCTGTACACATGTACACATATGTACGTTCACATACCTGCACGCACAATCACAATGGATTGTTTGAGTTTTAAAAAGGAGCAGTTGTCCTGAACATAACTTTAATCCCACTGAGGCTACCTGGGTAATAAAGACTCAAGAAATCTAATTCATACTTGTCTGCTATATGCCCCAGACCTGAAATACAGCTGTGGCAAGGGGAACACAATTAACGGGGACTTTTATCAGGATAATACAGGCTACTACTTGGGTTTGTTCTCATCAATCAACATATCTTACTGCTGCAGCCCACTAGAAGCTGTCTGTGCACAGTATCTACATCTGACTACGATTACACAGCTGTAAGAGGTGTGACTGCAGCTCAGTGCGGTAAATCTGAGCTTGCTTTAAACAAGGCAGTTTGGACGCCAACAGCAACCCTGCTATGACTGCCCTGCATTTAGGGCAAACCAGTCTTTCAAAAATCTGTTCAGCTCCTATGCTGCTAAAAAACAAGCTATTAGTTTAAAATTAGCTCAGCTTATGTCTATAAACTGAAAGCACACTTCTAACTCCAGCATAAGCCTGTTCTTGTGGTTTTGCAGGTCCAAAACTAATGGACAGTAGCACCAGCAGTAGGAGGCCTAAACAGCAAGAAGTAAGCAGGGATATATCCTGGATATTATCCTGGACAGAATTTCAAGTTCAGCTAAAAACAGAAAAATGGGTCTTTCAAAAACACAGCAACAGCATAAACAGAGGTTTCCCTTTGACAGAATTCAGTATGGACTTGCCCTTTTAATAATCTCAAGATTGCCAAAGCACACAGACCCCTTAGCTAGAAATACACCATGAAGATAAAAGGTGAACTCTGTTCTCCAAAATGAGTTTGAACACAATAAAACTTGCCTCGTAAGCTTAGGTAGCTTAAATTATACTATAACTCATTTTTAACAGGGGTTGGTTCTAACAAGCATTATCTTAAAAAAATAACTTCAACCTTCACAAATTTTCTATTTGGTGAAAACAAGTAATATAAGTACTTAAAGCTCATTCATGATATAAAGCTGCAAGCTCCCTCGGTGGAAAGCCTTCAGAATTCAAGACTTCCTGAGCTCAAGTAACTGTCACAATTAATTTACTGGGACTGTTGTAAATGTTTTTTTTCCTGATAACTTTTGTATTGCTCCCTTATATCCACTTTCAACTTCAATCTTCCTAATTATTAGAGGGACCAGGCCAACAATTTTGTTTCCAATCCTCTCTCTCAACAGGCATTAACACAAATGTTCTGAGTCATTTTCCTGCACAACACTGAAGGACAAAACACCTGTCACGCCTCAAACAGCACAAAAATTCACGTATGGAAATGCTCATACTTCCTTATCCAGCTTCTCTGTTCTTATTCTCCAACACTAAGGTTTTCCCAAGACATCTGGGATTTCTTAGTATCAAGTCCAAATCCTGAAAAGCATCATCAAATTTTCATACTGAGCAAAGTTAGCAAATAGATTACACGGTCACTAAAAATCAGAAAGTAAAATAGTAACAAGTTTCATCAGCAAAAACAGATCCACTGCTTAGTATTCAGTTAGTTGATCTCATGAATATTAAATTAATAAGAAATACTTTTGTAAAAAATTAGCCTACAGCCTTTAAAAACTCTGGAAATTAACTCTTCGTGATCACAAACCAACAAGGTTTCATCCTCCCTTAATGTGCAGGCAATAAGGAGTAAACATTCCCTTGAAAGATGGATAAAATCAAGCTTGAATCAATAGGTCTTTTGTCTGCTCTACCTCTGTGTTTTGAGCTCAGTAGCTAGAATTACAGAAACACAGCAAGCTGTGACACATTACCTGTAGAGAATGTTAGTTAGCATGGTTAACTAGTACTTCATTACAGCAAACAGGCAATAAATTCAGCTAAAACTTCTGTATCTAAAAATACTACAGCTCACTTCTCATTTCTCAAGCCCTGTGACAGCAAATAATGCTAATTGTTGTCTGCAAGAACAGTAAGAGAAAGAGTAGCTTGAAATTTAGCCCTAGCAGGCAAAACCTTGAAGAATGTGACCTTTTCCTACAGTACACTGAAAGGCCCCCCAAAAATGATTTGCTCCCTTCATAAGAACCCAACTGACAGACTGCAATACAGTCCCAGTAAGATTAATTTTCAATAAATGGTCACAACAAAAATATTTTATTTGGCTTCACAATTCCAATATTACTCTTAATTTAGCCCTTGTCAAACAGAACTTTAAAGTCTCTGTGGCACTTAGAGGTCTTGCATTTTGGCACAAATAAATATTAACTTTTCAGAAGGCAACCCCCCCTCTAATTTTGTATTACCTTGGTCAGTGTTCAAGTTCATATAATCCTTTAGTCCTCAAATAATACTTTCATATTTCCCAAGTTAAACTTGAAAAGTCATTAAAGTATCCTTAAAAAAAGCAAACCCCAAATATCACCTCTAAGAATTTAACCCTTTTCAACTTTGAAGTCCTAACGCAGTACATCTGAACACTGCTACCAACACACACACAAAACACACAATATGTGCATTCTCCTATTCCATAGAGTTCAATTGCATACTTAGCACAAGTATCTTTTTATTAAGTTTTCCATAAGCTGCAGTTAACTAATTCAAATTAAAATATGACTCTACTTTTCATGGAAATTCAGGGAAAGTATATTTATTGCTATACTGATTAAAGATAAAAATAAATACAGCAAAAAAGGCTCAGCAACTACAAAGGAACAGTGACAGTTTTATTACTTTATACGCAGCCAAAGAAGTTTTTCTGAAACCAATGCTCCAATGCTTTTTTTTTCTTCAAGTAGTTCCTTATGATAATTCGGCATATTCTAATTACTTCTTAATACTCACAATATGTCCTTCTAAACTGTTTTTGATAACTGTTTGGGGGGGTATTTGCTTCTTGGTTTTGTGGGTGGTTGTTTTAGTTGTGTGTTATGGGTGGGTTTTTTCTGTTTACATACAGTATTGGTCAGATCAATATAGCTGTACAGTGGTTTTCATGCAACCACTAGAAAAAGCAGAATTCAAAAAAATAAAAGTTCAGCTGACATTTATTTACAAAGATATACTCTTAACAGTCAAAAATAGTACTACCTTCTTTTAAAGGGCTTTGCCAAGTCTT